GACCAGGGTTAGGCCAGGCTGAAGCCAGACTCCATCGGGATCTCCCACCTGGGTGCAGGGGCCCAAGCACTTGAGCCATTTTCCATTTCTTTCCCTGACACATTAGCAGAGAGCTGGATTGGAAGTGGAGCAGCCAGGACACAAAGCAGCACCCATATGGGAAGCCAGGGCTCTAGGTGGTGGCTTAACCCACTATGCCATAGCACCGGCCCCAAATAGACCTTTCCAACAAAAATGACAGATTGCATTAGAAAGATGGGTAACTCCACGTGGGAGTTCACAGGTACAGGCCAGAAAGGACAGACTCCAGGCTGGAGCTGTAAAGCGGCCAGCACCAATGGAGGCTGGGGCCTGGAACCAAGCGAGATCTGGTTTACGTCACATAGCATCGTGGAGCAAGGGCAGCGCTGATGCTGATGGCTGATGATTGACAGGGTGAGCAGGAGGCAGGCTCTCCACTGGCACAGGAGCAGTTGTGGATGGAGTGCTTTCTTGAACACTGAGAGCTGCGCCTGACCGGGGAGCTACTGGGGTGGGGGTGGGACCAAAGGGAGGGGAAGGCCTGTCGGGTGGTGACCTCAGAGGTCCAGGCAGAAGACAAGAGCAGCAAGACGGGGGTGGTTACATGAAAAATAAAAGTGTGTGGAACTGGGGCCAGTGCTGTGGCGTTGTGAGCTAAGCTTCCACCTGCAGTGCCTGCCTTCCGTATGGACGCCGGTTCTAGTCCCGGCTGCTCCTCTTCTGATCCAGCTCTCTGCTATGGCCTAGGAAAGACAGCCCAAGTGCTTGGGCTCCTGCACCCACGTGGGAGACCCAGAAGAAGCTCCAGTCTTCTGGCTTCGAATCGGCTCAGCTCCGGCCATTGTGGCCATTTGGGGAGTGAACCAGCAGATGAAAGACCTTTCTCTCTGTCTCTCCTGCTCTCTGTCTGTAACTCGATCTCTCAAATAAATAAAATTTAAAAAGAAGTGGGTGGAACTGAGACCTATGTGGGACAGAAGACCCACTGAAAGGATGTGGTGATCATTCCAAAGGAGAGAGAAGCAACGGGGTACTGCCAAATGCCATTCCCGGGTCTAACTTGAGCCTGGTGTCTCTGTCCAGCAGTGTGGCCAGTGGAACAAGGAAACCAGGAGAAGGCTCTGGAATCAGCCTTCTGCCTCGTGGGATGGGGCTCTGTTTGGCAAGGCACTGATGGTTTGGCACCTTAGGACAAGTTTCCTGGATGACGTGAAGGGGTTGAAGGCAAGCCTGCGTTCTCTCCGGCCAGTCCTCTCGTTGGACTGGAGACCATCCCTTCCTGTTCCTGTGCCCCAGGTGAGGGCATAGGAGCTGCCCTCGACATTTGGCCTGGCTATCTCTGCTGTTGATATAACCTTGGCCTCTGGGGTCGGTGCTGTGGCATTGCGGGTAAAACCGCCCCCTGCAGTGCCGGCATCCCATATGGGTGCCAGTTCGAGTCCTGGCTGCTCCACTTCCTATCCAGCTCTCTGCTATGGTCTGGGAAAGCAGTGGAAGATGGCCCAAAGATCCTTGGGTCCCTGCATCAGTGTGGGATATCTGGAAGAAGCTCCTGGTTCCTGGCTTCGGATTGGCGCAGCTCTGGCCATGTGGCCACCTGGGGAATGAACCAGTGGATGGAAAACCTCTCTCTCTCTCTCTCTCTCTCCCTCTCTCCCTCTCTCCCTCTCTCCCTCTCTCTCTGTCTCCCTCTGTCTCTCTAATGCTGCCTTTCAAATAAACAAATAAATACATCTTTAAAAAAATAATCTTGACCTCTGGGCCTATTTTCACCTAAAGGGCCAGGCACATGACTGGTCCCTCCTTACACCTAAACTCACCTGTTGAGCACAGGTACTGAGGGAGGTTTTTTTACTTTCTATGAAGACAGCACCCCGAGCTAGAGAACGTGGCTCTGTGCTTAATTCCCGATTTCAACCACTCTCAGGGTGCCCCACATTTGCCAGAACCATTGTTGCAAGATTCACGCGCAGAATACGAGGGTGCAGAGGCCGACGCCCACTCTTCCTGATGCTCTCGCTTTCACCTTTGGGTTATGCGAGATCGGTGATGTTTATTTACATGGGCGGACAGGACTGCGCTAGGTGCTGCCTTAGCCCTCGGCTGAGGACACTGCTTCGCTTTGTCACATAGCATCATCACCAAGGAGAGACTTCTCAGGGTCTCCCGAGCAGAAACCACAGTGATACGCGCAAGAGGCTTGATTTTTGTGTTGCCGACAGCATGGATCCCGTACTGCTCAAGTCTTCCTGCTGATAGCCCTGGGCCCCGGGCCTTGTGTCTGGTGCACTTACATCTTTCTTGGCTACAGCTTAGGTCTCCAACCCCTTTTCTCTCCATCCCATGCATCTCTGCAAACTGCCTCAAACCTTTCTTTGGAAAGAGGTGGCAGGCATCTCAGTACCTCGTCCCCATCTTCCCTCTGCTCCTCCCACCTTCTTTCCCTAGCTCCCCGTTCCTCACTCCAGGCCCTAGAATGTTCTTCAGTCTGGAAAATTTCACGTGGGAGATGGTCCAAGTTTGTCAATTCCAGGAAAGGCACGTGGTGGGTACACGCTCATGCGCCACACTCTCAGATTCCCTGGAAGTAAGTTTAGTTCGCAACGCAACTGGTTTCAAGGCTTGGGAAGCGATTCAGCAGGATGTGTTATCCCATACACGGGGCCCAGCTGAAGCCATCACGTCTCCCGTCTGGTCCCTTAGGAGTTGCCAAGGGTCTGCAGGTGGCCTTATCAACAAGGCACAGCCATGGCCCCCACCAGCTGTGCACCCCCCAGAGACAGGCAGCAGCCTTGGGCTGGCCCCTCTGTTGCAGGCATTCCAGGCGGTTCAGAATTCAGCCAAAGAAGGAGGGCTCTGCCTCCTCCCAGCGACACCTCACGGAGGAGGGGGGAGTGACACCTCAGCTCATTAACTCCACCACTTCACACTCACTAACAACAGCACTCACTTGCAATCACACCAGGAGCGCCCAGGGCAACGCAGCCTCCAGCTGCTGCACGCCTGCGCTCGCTTGCCCGTCTAGACGCTGCCTGGCACCGGGGCGCTTACAGCATCCCAATGCCTGAGCACACACTGGCCGCCAAGAGCTTGGAACCGCACGCTCACAGAGGTCAGGCTTATATTTATGTGATTCCAAAGTCAAATGCCCGATCTGCCCCCAGCGCCTCACCCCCTCACTGCCTCATCACTTGGGGGCTGGGGCTCCTGGCTCCCCAGGAATCACGTCATGATCAGGGCGAGGTGCTGACGGTGTGTCCAGAGCCTCTAACTCCTGCCCTCTCAGGCCCTCCCGCCTGTCGGTCACCTCCTTCCCCTCTACTACAGAAATCCCCCAATCCCACCCATGCAGGGCTTAGCTGAGTGTATCCCAGACAAGCAACCCCATGTGGGACTGACCCCCAGTCCTTCTCTCCCCTCTATCCATCCTGGCCTCCACCCTCAGACCTGCAGAATTTCAGGAGTTCCCCAGCCCAGGGAGAACATGTGGAGTCTACTAGCCCACTCCTTTGCTTTAGGAATCTGCACTCAGAAGCCAAGCAGCACCAAGAGGGGCCCAGGTCCACACCCCACCTAAGGTGCTGCCTGCATAGCCCAGAGGGGGGTGGGGCTGTTGTGGGGTGTCCTGACTTCCCTGCAGGGCTCTGGGTGTGGGGCTGGGGCTGCCCACACTGCTTGTTCCCAGGGTGCCCAGCACCAGGCCACCTGCCTCCTCTGGACCAAGCGGGGCTTGCCCAGGGGCCAGCGCCTTGCACCTTTTTGCTCTGGGCCTGGCAGAGGAGCGCAGAGGGGAATAGGGCTGCACTTGGTCTTCAGAGCAGACTGGCAGCTGGTGGAAGGAGGAAGGAGAAGCTGAGAAAGACCCTCATCCCGCCAGCCTTCACCCATGGCACCAGCCCACCCTGGGGTGGGGGGAGTCCCTGCAGATCGTACCTTTCCAGAGCTTTCCTGATGTTGCCCCTCAGGGCCCCAGGTCCGCTCCACCCGTGGTAACTTCCTGCCCAGATTGCCTGAGTCTGCACTCTCCACTCAGCTGTGGGCCTTGAGGGCAGGCACTGGACCCTGCACCCCTGGAGACCCAACAGCACCCAGCCTGTTGCTGAGTCACTCCCAAGTAAGGCCGGCCAAGAGGGACCCGCGGCACCGAGCAGACAGAGCTCAAACGACCTCAGCCCCACAGCCAGTGCCAAGGCCTCCCCTCCGCTGGGTGGCGCTCTTGGGCAAGGGGGCTTTTCCACCCTGAGTCTCAGAGGGTTCTTCTGGGCAGGGGGGACTGACACAGGACTAGCCAGGTAGCCCAGGAGGGTCCAACTGGAGTGCCAGGGCCTGAGGGCACATCTGAGCTCTAGGCCTCTGAGCAGGGCAGGGCTGGCTCCTGCAGGGACCACACAGTAGGCGACCACCTGCTCCTCCCATCCAGAACAAACTCCACAGGGGATAGGCTGCGGAGTCCAAGTTATACCGGGGGATCTGCAGGTTCCTTCCGGCTAGCAGAGGCACAAGGCATGCATGTGTGGGCATGCACGTGTGTGTGTGTGTGTGTGTGTGTGTGTGTGTACACATACACCCATGCGTGCCATGCACAAGTGAAGGAAGAGATGGTTGTTTCCGTGGGTGGGGAGGAAGTTGAACAAGTCAGACCATTTCCACGTGAACCCAAAATTTGGCTTCAGACCAGCTTGTCCCTGGCTCGGAGCAGCTTTGAGAGGCAAAGCCAGGGACACTGGGAAGCGAGGGGACTCTCCCAAGAGCTACTACCAGGGCAGAAGCAGAGGCCCAAATGACATCAGAGGTGGAAGAGGAGGGGGAGGAGGCCCCGTCGTGGGAAGCATGAGCAGGGGCAATGCACAGGCACTCGGGAGTCCAGCGAGGGCCTGAGTACTGAGCGGGCTGTGTGGTGTGGTCAAGGGCCAGAGCTGGCACGCTCAGTGGCACCCCGGAAGTGCTGCTCCTGGGCTGCTGGGGCAGGACACACCTACCTGTACCACGGTGGGTGGGTGTGGGTGCTGAAGGCCTGGAGTCATAGATGGCAGGGTCCTGCAACAGGGGAGTCATCCAGTGCCCCCGTGGGGCCCGGGCCCAGAGCCCACTGCACCTGCTGCACCAAGGGCCATTCTGAGGAGGATCTGCAAGGAGAGGGAGTCGGGGCCAGAGCCTGAGCCCCCATCACAGGTTCCAAAGGGCCCTGGGAGGCTGGGGAAAGGAGGCCTGAGGAAGCGGTTGGGGAGCTATGCGGGCAGGGGGAGGCTTAGGGCAGGGCCTGGACACAGCTGGGGAGCAGCCCGTGGATCCCCGCAGGACAGGGTAGACTGACATGCACCAGGGTTCAGGTGGACCCCAGGCCCCAGCAGGGAGAGGCACGTGGGAGCTGTGGCAGCAGGTGCAGGGAGAGTGGGGCTGCCTGGCCAGGATGCAATGCTGGGCCTCGAAGGGACCCTCAGGGTGGTGGCAGGGAGTCCACCGGCTCCCCCACCAGCTCTGGGCACCTCCCGGGAGCACAGCTTCCTGGGTCTACCATAGAACCTGCCCCCACCACACTTCCCTCCCAGCCTGCGGCTCCGGTCAGACTCCACTGCTAAGCAGAAGCCCCTGGGCAGAGGTGGGGCATGGAGGCTAAGGAATGAGTGGTGCTGTGGCTATGGGGTGCAAGAGGGAGGGCTGGGGTGGGGCTTGAGAGGGGTTCAGGCTCACTGTAGCCATGTGGGCAGAAGGTGGTGGTGGCCAAGGATCAACTGGGAGAAAGGTGAGGAGCAGAGGGAATGAGGAGGGGCGGGGAGCTAAGAGAGGACCTAGAGGAAAGCGAAGGGTGGGCTGGGGTGGGCGAGGAGCGGGGACCTGGAGGGGGCATGAGAGCAGGGAGGTGCCAGGCCGGGGGAGGAGGGGAGGTGACAGGTAGGGGAGAAGGAGGGGAGGTGACAGGTAAGGGGGAGGAGAGGAGGTGACAGGCAGGGGAAGGAAGGGAGGTGATATGTAGGGGGGAGAAGAGGTTACAGGTGGGGGGAGATGGTGACAGGTAGGGGGAGGAGGGGAGGTGACAGGCAGGGGAAGGAAGGGAGGTGGCAGTTGGGGGGAAGAGGTGACAGGCAGGGGGAGGAGGGGAGGTGACAGGTGGGGTGAAGAGGTGACAGGCAGAGGGAAGAGGGGAGGTGACAGGTGGGGGGAAGCAGGGGAGGTGTCAGGCAGGGGAAGGAAGGGAGGTGACAGTTGGGGGGAAGAGGTGACAGGCAGGGGAAGGAAGGGAGGTGACAGGCAGGGGAAGGAAGGGAGGTGACAGGCAGGGGAAGGAGGAGAGGTGACAGGCAGGGGAAGGAAGGGAGGTGACAGGCAGGGGAAGGAGGGGAGGTGACAGGCAGGGGAAGGAAGGGAGGTGACAGTTGGGGGGAAGAGGTGACAGGCAGGGGGAGGAGGGGAGGGTGACAGGTGGGGGGAAGGAGGGGAGGGTTCAAGTCGGGGGGAGGAGGGGAGGTGACAGGTTGGGGGAAAGGAGGGGAGGTGCCAGGCAGAGGGAGGAGAGTGGTGCCAGACGGGGAAAGCAGAGAAGGTGCCAGGCAGGAGGGTGCCAGACAAGGGAAGCAGGGGAAATGCAGGTGCAAGGCAGACAGGAGGGTAGCAGGTAGGGGAGGTCTCCGGGCAGGGAGGGGGTGAAGAGGAACTTCCGAGTCAGGGAAGAGGCTCAACGAAAGGGCTGGGAGGAGGAGGCAGCCGGCAGGGGGTGGGGTGCAGGGAGGTGCCAGGCAGGGGGGCAAAGTCAGGAGTAGGGGGAGACGCCAGGAAAGAAGGAAGAGCCGGAGATGCCAGGGAGGCAGAAGGAGAGATGCCAGGTAGAGACGAGGGGAAGGTAAGGGGGAGATGCCAGGCAGAGAGAGGAAGCTGCCAGGCAGAGGGAGGAGGCTGCCAGGCGTGGGGGGCTGTAGGGGATGCCAGGCAGGAGACAGAGGGGGAGATGCCAGGCAGAGGGGGGAGGCTGCTAGGCAGAGGGAGGAGGACGATGCCAGGCAGAGGGAGGAGGAGGATGCCAACAGAGGCGAGGCGGCTACTGCCAGGCAGGGAAGGCGGGGGCGCCGGCGCAGCGCGGCCAGGCGGCGTCTTCGCCAAGGGCCGTGGGGGCCACGCGGCGCGGGTCGCTCACCTGCTCCCCCGGGACCCTGGCCCGGAGCGCGGCCGCCGGCTCCCCGCTCTGCGCCGGGCTCGGCCCGGCGCCTGCGCCGCTGAAGCCCGGAGCGGGGGAGGCGCAGGGAGCGTCTGCAAAGAGCGAGGAGCTTAATAATGAGTTAGGGATCGGAGCGGGAAGCGTCGCCCCATCCATCAGTGTGCGTGATCGCCGGCTCAGAGCCCCTCGCCAGATCCGTGGTGATCTTCAGCCTGCACATAGACACATCTTAGGTCTGTCCGTGCATCTGCATGCCCACGATCCACGCACGTAGAGCATCCTGTGTGGATGAACACACGTGGGAAATGCGCACCCAGGTGTGAACACACACACACACACACACACACCCTGGGGGAGAGGGTTGTTTCTGGTCCAGCTCAGTGATGTCAACGCTCCTGCTTTTATGCACTTAACATTTCAGCCCTCAACACAACTGACCCTGTCGGCAGGCACGCGCACCACCCTGAGCTCACGCTGGTCCCCAGTGGAGGGCTGTGGGGCCCGGAGCAGCCCTTTCCAACTTCTAGCCAGAGGAGCTGACTCTGCTCCCAGGGGCTCTGCCGGCAGTTGTGCCTGAAGCCGTCAGATTGGAGCTAGCACCGCGGGGCCTCAATTCCTACCTGTCCAACACATGAGCCCAGAGAGCTCAGACACCCACCCCCAAGGAGGCAGCAGCAGGGGTTGTGAACCCACCAAGCCTTTGTGAAAGGATGCCCTGGTGGGAGGCAGGCAAATGGCGGGTGCTGTGGTTGGCCAGCTGCTCCCCAGCCCAGGCCACTCCCTCACACTAGGGGCACTTTGAGCCCCAAGCACCTGCCATTCTGCTTTCTGTCTCCACAATTCAGAGTTCTCTGGAGAGCACGTGCAAGTGGGATCCTACAGGATATGAACTTCTGTGGCTGGCTCTCTCACTTAGCAAGACTCTCACATGATGGCACCCCCCCCCCCTTTTGAAAGATGTATTTATGAGAGAGGCAGAGAGAGAGAGAAGTCTTCCATCCACTCATTCACTCCCCAAATGACCACAACAGCCAGAGCTGGGCTGATACAAAGCCAGGATCCAGGAGCTTCCTCTGGGTCTCCCACGTGAGTGCAGGGCCCAAGCACTTGGGCCATCTTCTACTGCTTTCTCAGCCATAGCAGAGAGCTGGATAGGAAGAGGAGCAGCCAGGCCATGAACCAGTGCCCACATGGGATGCCAGCACTGCAGGTGGAGGCTTAGCCTGCTACACCACAGTGTTGGCCCCGCCTTTCCATTGTAAGGCTGAGTAATATTCTGCGGGGTGTATACTACATTTTGATTACACTCTCACTCTTTGAAATCTTCCTCTTTTTGTTGATCGAACGAATCATGCTGCTTTTACATCCTTTCAGAACGTGTGGATGTCAACTGGGGGCACCGCCCCAGCCCAGCCCTGGTGAGACCAGTTCCTGTCTTCCCCAGCTACTTCCCCCAGCACCCTTCTCAGAGTGCCCTCACACCCCTGGCTACTCCAAGGACCCCCCAAGGAGTTTTTCCCTAAATTGACTGACTTCCTGCCCTGATCCAAACGGCCTGCTGCGCCCCTTCTCGTGAGAGGCAGTGCCAGCAGGGGTGCTGCCCTCCCTCGGAAGGGACACCCTTGAGCGAGTCCCTGCAGGAGGTGCAGTACCTTCTGAGCCCCAAGGAACAAATCCAGACCCTGGCTTGCACAATCATCAGCAGGGAAGGGAGAGGAGCGCGTTTTTTTGAGACAGGGAAGGCTTTGCCCCTGGGTAGGACAGCTGGGGAGCTGTCTGAAACCCGAGATCCCAGGGGCTCCAAAGGCTTCCCAGGACCCAGAACCTGACCCCAGAGGTCAGTGCGAGAGTTTCAGCCCCTCTGGCCTGGGAAGAGTTCATTTCAAGCAAGATGATGGGGCCGGTGCTGTGGCAAAGCAGGTTAAGCCTCCATCTGCAGTGCTGGCATCCCATATGGGCGCTGGCTCCAGTCCCAGCTGCTCCACCTCTGATCCAGCTTCCTGCTAATGCACTTGGGAAAAGAAGAGGAAGATGGTCCAACTGCGTGGGCCCTGCACCCACGTGGGAGACCTGAAAGAAGCTCCTGGCTCCTGGCTTCAGTCTGGCCTGGCCCAGGCTATTTCAGCCTTTGGAGAGTGAACCAGTGGATGGAAGATCTCTCTCTCTCTCTCTCTCTCTCTCTTTCCCCACTGGCTCCTCTCTCTGTGTATCTCTGCCTTTCAGATAAATGAATAAATCTTTTTAAAAACAAGGATGGCTCCCTCTTCCCACTTCATGCTCACCCACCATGAGCTCATTCTCTCCTCTCCCTGAGGAAGCATTGATGGGGATAAGGTAACCACACATTAAGCTGGTAGCCCTTTAACTTGCTAGCATGGAGTTAGGCAGCAGATTTCTAACCCAGGGCTGAACACCTGATTTTTAAATAACTGCTCTTTCATCATGCAGCCCTCCGAAGTGCGACTTCATGAGGGTAGGAGGGGGGGTCCGTCAGCCTGGACATCCCAGGGTCCAGCCCCCCTGTGGAGTAGAGTAGGAAGAAGATTCAGGGAGACTGGCCATGGCTGCAGAGGACCAGTCAAGGGAGTCCTGGCAGGGCTGGGGAGACCAGGAAGAGGGTTGGACCGCGATGGTGTTCTGCGTTGCAGCATTGCTTGCAAAGCAAGATTTTGGAAATGGCCTCTATGTTCATAAACAGGTGATAGAAGATGTAAATCCCGACAGGCCTGAACAGGTGATGGGGTAAATAATACATCGTTTAGAGAACGCTGCCCAATACCGCGGGAGCTGTCTACGTAATGACTGGAAGGATCTCAATGATACATGGAACAAAAGAATGCTGGTATACAGAGCGGTGGGAAAGCCATGCTAATACACATGTGAGCTTGTGTGTTGTATGCATGAGCATGACTGTGTTCCTGTGGAATACATGTGTGTGTGTGCACTCCTGCAGGATACAAAAGAAAAAACTGGCCACTGTTTCTCAGCCACCACACACTCTGCGAGTTTTGGCACATGTGTAACAACTCACGTGTGTGGTACCACACAGAAAATCTCTTCTCCTTCCATCTCTTCCCCGCACTCCTGCAGCGACTGATCTCCTGCCGTCTCCACAGTTCTGCCTTTTCTAGAATGTCGTTTAGTTGGAATCTTACAGTATCTGAAAAGCAGCCTTTTTAAGATGGGCTTCTTTGATGAATAATACCAGCACATTTAGGCTTCCTCCACATGTATCTGTGGCTTGATAGCTCATTCTTTTTAGCTCTGAGTACGATTCCATGGCATGGATGTCCCACAGCAAAAATTACTGTTTTAAAGATGGGTTTTGGGGCCAGCGCTGTGGCATAGCAAGTAAAGCTGCTGCCTCCAGTGCCAGGGTCTCATATGGGCGCCGGTTCAAGTCTCAGCTTTTCCACTTCTGATCCAGCTCTCTGCTGTGGCCTGGGAAAGCAGTAGAAGATGGCCCGAGTCCTTGGGCCCCTATACCCGTGTAGAGGACCTGGAAGAGGCTCCTGGCTCCTGGCTTTGGATTGGTGCAGCTCCGGCCATTGCAGCCATCTGGGGAGTGAATGAGCGGATGGAAGACCTCTCTCTCTCTCTCTCTCTCTCTCTCTCTCTCTGCCTCTCCTCTGTCTGTGTAACTCTTCCAAGTAAATAAATAAATATTAAA